GGTTTTGGTTAGTGTGTTAGTGTATTTTGAATAAATTGTAATAGAAATGGAAGAAATTGGAAAAGATAAAAGGTAATTGCCAAAAAACAAGTGATCTCGGCTAGAGGAATTTTTCGGCAATCGGCTGATAGTGTTTTTACTTAGGAAACTGTACGATGTTTCCGATTTCTCGGCCAAATGACGAATTTGGGCTCAATGTAAATGTAATATTAGCCACTTCAAACTTCCACTTTATTGTATTAAATTTAACGAGCTATAAAACAACGTACGTACACTGGCTATCAAAAGTGAGTGCATGGTGTTTTTTGTTTAATATTTGCAATGTTTTTCAAGTTAAATTTTTTTTATTTTTATTTTTATGGTTCATGCTTTAATCAAAACCACATAATTGAAGCTTTCAAACTTTATACAGAACTTAGAAAAAGTCAACAAATTTTCGTCTAAACTTTGAACGTTTTAATCAGAATTTTTTGAAAAATTTTGAGTACGCAGATGGATCGATTTTTCAATTCTAGTGAAACAAGTGCATGTTTTAAGCAGCTAGCAAATCGCGTTGACGTTTAATGATTTTTACTGCTGACGGCTTTTTGCATTTTTTACCAATTAAAAAGGAATTTCTTGTAGAATAAAATTCGCAAGACCGTTTGCAAAGAAAAATAGGAAAAATTAACGCTATAATTTATAAATTGCCTTGTTACATGCATAAAACCGTGAAACCCGTCAGAAAAAAAAAATATTAAAAATCAACGCGATAAGTTAGCCGCTTAAAACTTGCGCTAGTTTCACAAGAATTACATAGCCAATCTCTCTGTGTACCCAAAATTTAGATACAAATTTGTTAAATTTTCTAAGTTCTGTATAAACTTTGAAAAGTTGACTTATGTGGTTTCGTTTAAAGCATGAACCACATTTTTATAAAAAATAACTAAAATAGTTTTAACTTGAAAACATTGGAAATATTAAACAAAAAACACCATGCACTCACTTTTCTAAAAATTCTGAGTAAAATATTTGAAATTTTGATGAAAATTTTTTTGACTGTTGTGGAATATTTTATTTGTTTGGCTTTTGTTGTGGAATTGACTCTATGTGTATAAAAGTGATTAAAATGAAATAAAAGAAAATGCAATTGTCAAAACATGCTATTTTGGTGAACACTGCTGTATGTATGTTGTCGCCATCAATGCAAAGTGTTCTATTTGACATATTTTTAATTGCTTTTGGTTTAGTATTCCGTAAGGTGGCTTAAAACGTTAGCCCAACACCAAAATTAAAATCCAATATTAATGGCTTCTATAGCAAAGCTCTAAAAGAATTTCTAATGTAAATTAAAAAATTGAAAGTTTTTTGTCAATAGAAACTTTTCCCATTCATAACGACGATATTTATAAATTTCTGTTACCAATTTGTTATTATTTTGGCAGCAAGTCGCTTTGACGCATCCCTCTGCTGTACTGGGACAATCTAATGCGCAATCGGAGCCACTCATATTTAGACTCGATGTGCCATCAGACATGTTGCAGCCTTCTATTTCGACAAACTCGGGCTGAATTGTGGTCGAGTGTATGCCTTCATTGTGAAAAAATTCCTTAACCTTCTCCGCAATTTTCATATATTCCGAAAGGTTGCGACATCTATGGATATTCACGTTTAAATAAATGTACATGTGTGTCATACACACCCAGATTTTAGTAATGGGCATGCGTAAATGTTACTTAGCTGAGCGTAAGTGCATTAATGATTTCTTACCTTATGTGAGCCGAAGCGATTATACGGTCCCCAGCTAATTGCCAAACGTGAAATTCGTGAACAGCCAGAACACCATCAACTTTTTCCAGCAGACGCTTTTGGATCGCGTCAACCTAAGTAAATAGAAGCATATATTTTTTTTTTTATTATATAAATAGTCAAAAACGAAAATCCAGCATTTACTTGAATATGCGTTGGCACAGTTTGTAGCAATATCAATGCTGATTCCCGGAGGAGTGGCCAAACTGAATGTAGAATTAGGCAAACCAAAACGATAGAAAGAGCAGGATCCATATAGTATCGATATTTCCAGTCTGTTAGCCACACAACCTAATGACAAATACACATTTACAATGCACTTTGCCTGATTTCGTTATTGTATACATATATGAAACATACCAAGGCGCTAATCACGACTATGATACTACCCAAGGCATCACTTAGTACGTGTAAAAATGCACCACGCATATTCATTTGGCCTGGATCGTGACTGTGACCATGATTTAATTTCTTCATCGGTTTTTTCTTAAAGCAAAGAAATTTATTTAATTTTTTTTGTAAATACTATTACGAATTCACAAGACGTGTTAAGTATGTTAATGTCTTAAAGTCTGAAAATTTTTCAACGTAAAATAACTATTAAAATGATTTTAGAGGATCTGTTATTATACCGAAATGCTTTTAAACTGGTAGAAATATATAAATTTTTAAATACTTTAAGACATTACGACGCTTAACAGGTCTTTTGAATCCCCTATATATGTACATATGTATGTATTTTGAGTTAACCTGACTGAACTGAAAAGTTTGAATGCATACCTCTTTTTCATAGGCGAAGTCATTGGGCTCACCTTCGCCATCATCTATATTTGCTAGTTCTGTAAGCCTGCTATGATTTCTAGTAAGACCACCGCCGTGCGAATGACCGTGGTGACCACCATGCTCTACGTATGAATATATACATAAATTTACATATACAACATACAAGAAATGTAAATTTAATTTGTAATTTGTAAATTTATAATAATTGTTTTTAATAATTCAACTAAAACTACCTGATGGTTACTTATGTATGTACTCGGTCCTGGTGTAAAGATTCTTTTTTTTTTTTAAATCAAACCAAGACTCCAAGCTTCAATATGCACCGATTCAAACACATAATCGGTTCGCACGTTTATAACTAAATACTACTTTACTACTAGTTTTACCCCGGTCCTCTTCGCTGCTCCGCAAATAAAATTATTTTTTCATTAATTATTGAAATGTAATGTCACATTACGTCGTTTAAAGTACAAAACCGTGCATCGTCATTCTGCGAAACCGCGTAACTGACATTTGCTGCCAAAAATTGGATTTGCTCACACAAGCTCTTGGCTCAATCCTTATCCATTCGTCCTGAAATATACTAGCCAGAAATGCGATTGCTTTATAAAAAAAAGGAGAACCATTTTGAAATATGAGTGTTTTTACTCTCTAGAAAATAATTTATGAAACCTCCCAAACGCGGTTTTGCATTTTGTTGATGCGCGGTTTTGTACTTTAAACGACGATTATCATTTTTTAGTCTAATTAAATAAAGAGAAAATTTCCAATCGTAAACATTGTGTTTAGAATCATTTCGATATTGAGACGATTTAATTACTTAACACAATTAGAAATAAACAAAACCCGAAGAGATTTCAACAGCAGCAAAAATGTTCAATAGATGCCACTATCCAATTTCTATAAAGAATTGCTCAATTTACTTTTATTCGGCTTAAAACAAAAAGTGGTTAACAATCTTAATATGAAATACGGCAAATGAAAGCTAACAAAATTCTACATAGACCGCATTTACATCATATATTCGATAAGTCTGAAAGTTTCTGACAAATTGATTAATCATTCCAGACTTTTTTTTTTATGAAGTAAAATTAAAAAATAACAGTTCTGTGTCAAATTTTTGCCTTTGTGCTTAAGCCTGTCCTGTTACAAAAAAATCAAGGTACTAATCAAGGCGAATTTATATAAGGTGGTGTTGTTTCATCAGCTGTGAGTAGCGTTTGATT